TGACGCCATGATGTTTCCCCCGTCATGAAAACTACCACTGTCGGTCCTCTCTTGACTCAGGTTCATCATCATCCCCCCCTGACATATAACCTCCCTCCCCTACCTGCAGCCAGAGTCTATGTGCACTGTAGCATTTTCCCTCTCCCAGGGGTCCTCGTTTGTGTCGATTATGTACGCCGCCCAGATAGGTAGGTGGGTATGTAAAGCACTGAAGGGGTTGGGTTGGAAGGGATAAACTCTACCGAAGGAGGAGCCCCTTGTTGCATTCTTCCCCCGGCGTAGATACCTTACATATGCAGGATTTTTGTTATGTTTGTTGTGGAGTCCTTTTTGCGGGATATCTCAACTGTTAAGCGTTGTATTGGGGCCATCTCGCAAAAAACAAAAAACAAAAAGACAGAAAACGGTGTGCCTTTGCATTGTTAGGCGCTTGCAACGCACATGGTGGACAAGATGGGGCCCTTCGTGGGAGACATGGATGTGCTGCGGACTGATGACAAGCTGTCCGTCTGATGATAACTTGTTTCTTTTTTTGTTGATGATGATGATAAGGTGAAATGGGATATTCACATGCTTGGGTTTTTCCAACAGGTGAAAATGATATACATTCACCTCGCTACCATTCTGAACAAGATACTCTTTTTGGTACCGAACACGTCAGTTAGTTCTCTAGTGTTAGCTTGCTTGCTAGAATTCCCCCGGGTTAATTAATGACACGATCCAGACCGCCTCTCTCTCCCCCTAACTCCACCGCACGTCTTTATTGCGCGCGGATTTCCCATTTGTGCTTTGTGATAGGAGAATTTGTAATAAGTTTCGTGAAACTAGCGCTTCTGTAGCCAAGGCTCACAACGGCGGGCCGTTAATCCTGCCACCCGGACCGTTTGAGGAGGAAAAATAACCGAGCATGTTTGAGAAAAAAAAAAGAAACCGGGGCGTCTTGTCCACATTCTCTTCGAAACATCTAGCGCTTAGGCACGTTAGTTGCTTCCCTTTCCAAAAATCATGTGATGGCAGGAGTGTATGTAGACGCGTTATGATATCCGGTATCATTAGACCAAACGGCAATAGTTGGCGGCAGTTATGTCGTTGCAATGGTTTGATAACTAAAATCAAGAAAATAGGAGCGAATATAAATCTTGATAACACCCCAGCCAGCATGCATCCACCGCAGATGATCCTTTCGGTGTGAGTAAGGGGAAGGTAAATAGGTCAACACCTGCTACACAGCAGTGCATCCGATGCCCTAAAGTCAAGAGGTGCCCTGTTCTTAGGAAACAGCAACTGTCTCATTCACAATGAGGGCTGTTTCCCACAAGTGGGACATAGGTAGCACTTGTAAGGAGGGTGTTCGCCGGTAGACTAGGATCTTGGGGACCATTTCTTCGGGATGTGGGAATCTTTGGAACCGATCATGGGAAATCTCCCCCAAGGTAACTCTGGCCGCCGCTGCCCTCCAGTGAAATGCAAACAGATATATTGACGCACACGCGTCTACCAAGTCGGTAAAATAGTCAAGCAACCTGAGGGACAAGGGTCTGAGGTACATGGCGTGATGCGGCTTGCGTGACAAGATGTGGCTGGACCTGAGTTGATTCCACGGACCAGAAGACGCCTCTAACTGGGCGCCTTGAAGGATGGAGATTCTAGAAAGGGCAGTTCATTCGCAGCGTGGGGTTTGCTGGGCGTGGCTTGTTGGTGCAACTGCAATGGCTTTTTGAAAGAGCACAGCATGTTTGGCACATTGAACATGATGAAGAGAATATTATCCGTCATCCAGACATTGTGTATTGCATATATCAAAGACGGGAAGAGGCGATCTGTGTCGATGTCGAAAAGCCAGTTCGCCGGCTGACCCCTGGTTCAAACTTCATCAATTTGCTCCCCCACGGGCCGCAAGAAGACTCGCAGGAGAGAACCTGGAACTGTCCCGAGTGGGCGGGCTCTAGGCGGAGGAGGGGAGGAGCATCACAAGCCCGAGATTGTCCCGCCAATCGCAAGCGACGTGCACAGGGGCTTCGAACAAGGCACCTGGGAAGGGGTGTGCCTATCCAGGGTCTGAATCCGACAGTGCTGACACACCCCTGTGCTGGACTGAAGGTTGACCTCGGTGAAGGGCCTGCTATGTAGCAAGTCGATGGCGTAAAACGACAAAATATATAGTCGCATCAGCAAGTGTGAGACCTTGAATTGTCCACATCAAGTTACACGCATGTCTCGAGCATCTTGTCGAGCATGCCTTTCAGTGTGTCGTTTTCCAGAGCCGCGGCGACTCTCTCTTTGTCACCCAGTTGCTTGTTGACTTGGTCGTCCTGGGCATGAGAGCCATCCTTCATTCTCACATCAAAGCGGTAGTTGGGCGGCAGGGTCTGCTCCAGCCGGTACCGCACTGCCAAACCGATGACAGTGGCAAGAGAGCAGTGGTTGACGGTAGGTGTCAGATCAACAGTGACCGTGACCAGTTTGTCTCCTCGGCGTTCAGCCGGCGGAGGAGTCAGGTGGATGTCAGGTAGTTGGACCACCGAGAGCTGCCCCAGAGTATGAGGGTGTTCGGGGTCTGATATTGGGGAAATAAGGTCTGCGAAACGTCAGCCGCGTGATCGCCAACACGATCTATTTTAAACACTGAGCATCAAAGCGGCATTGATGTGCATTCAAACCAAACAGAGAAAATCGAAACTAGCTAACGATGTATATGCAATGCGAAAAGCAATGAGTAATGAGGGGTGAGTGTGGTGCTTACCGTAGATATCCTGGGCATCCACAGGGTCCTCGCCGTACTCCTCCTCGAGGTCCTCATCCTCTGATGAGGATGACCCACACAGCCATGGACGCTTAGAATAGACAATGTTGTCGCATTTCGAGTCCGGTCCCTGCCTCGGTGTGGTCACTTTCCGACTTCTGCTCGGAAGCTGTGAGACGTTGAGGATGGAGGGGTTGGCGTTGTCGACTTCGCGCATTTTGAAGGCGGGGTTTCGTGGCCTAGGTAGGGGTTTTGCTGCTTGGGCGTTAATGTGCCGAGATTCGGTTGGCGTGCTTCCACGAATCTGAGGTGCCGTGACTGTTGAGTGAGATGTGTGCTCTATCAAAGTAGATAATTGTTCGAAATGATGACATGCACTCCAGGCGATGGATGGATGCTCCGGTTTAGGAGGGGCAACGACCTGCTCTGAGCGTTCGCTGGAGGTTCCAGGTTAGGGTGGGGCCAACTACCGAGCCATCAAGAAAGAGCCGGGTGCACCGTTTTTCCGCTCGGGACTGCATCCAAGCCGCTGGTTGCCGGAGAATGCCGCCTTCTATAATCTCTCGATGACATGATTTTCTAACCATCTCCTTGGACACCTCCCTGTAACTGCGGAATGTCCGGCCGGCCATATGCATTTCACCAAGGCCCAATCGCCATATTATGTCGACGATCACGGCGGCTCATAGCGAAATCGCATATTCATGCATCTCAGACATGGGGTGTCGTGGGGTGTGTTCAGCAGATGTTCAGATGGCAATCCCGAATACGGCTGCTGGTGCGGGGCCTTCCGTGACGACCCCTGCGTGGAAGCTTTCAAGAAGGATGCCCGCAAAAAAACGTTGTTCTTGGCGCCCTGTGGCATGGCTCCCGTCGCCGGCCACCTGGCAGAAGCCATCCCCGCGTCCCAAGCCGGTACCTACGGAAATGACGCAGCCTCGCCGGAGTTCCTTCTACAACGGGCCTGGGAGATGCCATGATGGGAGCAAAAGAAATGCCTTGGGATCCGTGATCTCCAACCTTAAATTCGACATCGCCTGCCGTCCGCCGTCTGTGCCTGGGAGCTGCCGAAGCTACTCCAGACTGGATTAGCCATCACATCTTGCCCCGACGTCTCTTGGGGGCTCCCTCTTTGGATTCTCTTTGCAGCAAGTCCCATGAGTCTCGGCCGAGTGGAACATCCAGTCGGGCCAGACGATGATTCTCAAGCATGCCCAAGAAGAGACCATGCTTGCGAGCTCTTTGACTGATTGATGGGCCCTACGTTACCGTTTATGTACTCGATGGCCGTTTCATAAACGGAGCACAGCATGTGGGTACATGGGTCATCCTGGGGGGGGAGGGTTGCTTGCAACGTAATCAATGGTCAAGATCGAAGAACTTGGGGCCCGTTGTACTGTAGCGGCTTTGCTCGGTACCGTACACCCTGCCCTACCGACTGCCTTCCCCAGATATTTGTGATAACGATAACCACACAGCCACTAAAGAGTGTTCAAGAACGCAAGAATGAACAACCGGCAATTCTCATGACATCGAAAGAGGAAAGCCATCATCTCTGTCATCCTCCGTCCCTCGGCATGCTCTCGATCTGGAGAGCGTTGTCACCGCCCCACCCCTTCGCGTCTAGAACATGAGCATGTGATAAGACATGGGATGGGCGAGACCACACACCGAAACGATCCATGTTGATTCTTGGGTTACGGAGCATGCTGCACGAATACACTAGCCATTGGACCACAGTAGACTCATCAACAATAGCAAGGCAACATCGTGGTACGCTATCTTGGTAAGATCGATCTACAGAAAACGAGGACCGACTTGCATCCATCATTTGTCAAAGACGATCAACTGACAGGTTCCTTGACCAGGGTCCGCCTTGACGGAATGATGAAAGGCTTCAGAAGGAGGCAGGTCGATATCGTGCGTGTGCACATCTGCACGTGTTTTTCGGGCTCGAAAGAGAAGGAGGTTTAATTCTCCCGCAGTATATCCGCATGCTGGGCATCTCCATCGAAAACGGTGACGGGCAAGGGCTTGCGATGCCCAGCCACTGGGTTCGGATAGTCTCGCGGGCCCAACTCCCAGACAACCACCTCACGTCACGGCCATTGCCGTCTTTTCTTGCGCAAGATTTGTGTGAGGGGAAGAGAGACGCTGCTGGCGCAGAGTGCTGGTGAGGGCGTGTCAGTGGAGCTCACCGCTTCCCCCATGGCTTCCCCTGACATGTGTTGTGATGTTTGAAGGAAGGTTCGCGATGTGTTTCAGCACCCAGACACCACGCGCTTCAGGGGTCACCAGGCTCGCCCAGAGTCACGGAAGGACTACCCTGACGGCCCACGAGGAATAACCGTCTCCGCCCGGAAGTGTCCGTGAGACTGTTTTCTGGCGGTATCGCGGTGCTTTTGGGGATACGTCGTGGCAAGAGGGCGCTGCAACTCTCATTTGTCAAGATTGGATGACGGCTGCTCGGTTCTCGCTAGCCTGTTTCCTCCTGTCCGCAACTGTCAGTCACGCAGCGCCCAGAGACTGGCTTGCAGCACCAGGCGTCAGAGGCACGCCCTCGGCGGGCCTCGGTGTAGGGTAGTCTGCGGTATTGCTGTGGCACTGTTGCCATGAGCATACGAGCTCATTGATTCAGCCATTGGGCACGCTGAAAAGGCAATCTACTCATTAAACAACGGACAAGCCGTGGTTTTCCTAGAAACTGGTTGTACTTTATATCGCATGAATGATGTGTCGTTAGCCTGGGGCTTACCCGTTCCCGCCAGGGGCAGGCGGCACGGTAATGGGCTCCCCACGTTACCGGGCTGACTGCGCTGCAATCGCACATTGCATGCGAGTGTGCTGCGGCTGCCACCCCGCTTACGTCGCCCAGCCTCGCCATGCCATGCCATGCCACTCACTGTCCCTGGCGACGGCACCTGTCGTGTAATACTGTGTAGCTCAGCAGAATTGTCGCGTTGCGGTGCGTTTCCTTGTCCTTCCCAAGCCAAGCATGGTGGAATCCTGCTTGTTAAGGTACCGCTTGTCCACCACGGGCGCCGGACCATGGGGATCGGCGCGGGGCCATCGAGGAAGCCAGCAAATACGGTGTGGCCATGGGGAAACCAAGGACGGGAAAACGAGAACCTAAACGAGGAACGAGAAACGACTTGGGAACGTGGCACGAAAATAGAGGGGCGATATCTCCTAAGTCCGAAAATTACGAGAGCATGCTCTCAGCAAGACATGATGTCAGTACAGAAAGACTGTTCCCGTCATCGACCGAGGAGAAAAAAGAGGTGGTCGACGTGCGCGAACTGCCGCGATATGCAAAGCAACGATTTGGTGTTAGTGGGTGGATATCCAGCAATTTAGGGACGATGGACGACAAGTGGACAAGCAATGCTCGATTCACACACAGCGGCCTTCCACTGGAGATTCCGAGACCCTGGCTTGGGGGTGGCTCGTGCGGTCAACCTGGAAAAAGATGGGAAAACCCTGGGGGTCCCCGGTTTGCCATCCACACTCGAGGGGAGACCTGGAGACGCGGGCTGTTCTTTATCCCAACGCCCCTGATGTCTTCACTCTACCCCTCCTCCTCCCGTCCTCCTGCCTTGGAGTGTGTTGCCTGTGAGGTTGGCCACTCTTGAATTAGCACAGCTAGCTAGATACACCTACACTAGCTTCTCTGGAAATGAACTGCATTTTTTTGCATTTTCTGAACGGCCGGCCTTGTTCATGCCAATATCACAAGCATCATTATCAGAGACACTGCTGGTCTGTGAGGGGGACGCTTGTCTGCGCCGCACTGTTTCGTACTCGCTGCGCAAAGTCTGAACTGGCTCTTGCCAACTCTCCGCCTACACAGCGACAGCAACAGCAGCTCGCTTTCGATTACATACCCTACAGTATCTCCCTCAGTTCCTGGGGGCCCTCTCACGCTGAGGGAAATTCCCCATAGCGAGCTTGTCAGATTCGTGCACCTGCAGGTGTGCTGTGGAGGTCCTGATCAAGACAGGACGTGCCGGGTCCTTTGGGCAGGGTTACCCCTTCGCTCGACGTCCAGGAGGTCCTGGGACCACCCTTATTACTAGCTCGTCTTCGCCGACCAGGGCATCAGGACAATCACTCTGTACACGCGTTTGGCTAAAATCCCCTCGACGTCCACTCACACACACACGCTTTCACTCCTGCTACTACCACTACGTCTGTCTGCCTACTGCTTGAACTTGTTGCCGCTGCTGTGCTGTGGTCGAGAAGAGAGATCTCGCCTCCCCCTCCTTTGCCGCCTCGACATTGGACCACTGCTCACTGCCCACTGCTCACTGGAGACGCACACGCCAACCCTGCGCCGGCCGCCCACCTCGACCCAGCGACCCGATACCACGGCTGTGCGCGCATTGCTTTTTGCCCTCTATCATCGGATGACTTGAATGTGGAGTCGCCTTCTCTCGTCCATCATCAGCGCATAGCTGCGAACGTCTGCGCAAGACGCTTTATCCCACCGTTCATCATCATCACTACCACCACCACCATGTCCAACGACCCTACAGTGCGCCGGCTGCTCCCTCAAAACTCGCAGATGGGGAGCTTCAGCTTTGCGCCTCCGGCTTATCAGCAGCAACCACGAGAGACGCAAAAGAGTGCGCCCCTCCCTCCCCTTTTTTTGGTTCTGTTATCTGACCGTTGAGCTAGACTATGTCTTTGTGGACGAACATAACCGTCACAAGCGGTTGAAGGGTATGGGATCAGCGCTCATCCCCCGCTAGTGCCCCCCCATGTATCAAACTGACTCGCGCATACAGTGATGAGAGCTTGCGAGGGATGCCGGAGGAGAAAGATCAAGTGTGACGCTGCCACCACAAACACCTGGCCCTGCTCAGCATGCATACGCCTGAAACTTGTCTGTGTTCGTCCGAACGGCTTCGACGGGTCGTCTGAACCTCAGGTCTACGAACCACCACGATCCCAGTTTGAGACCTCGCATGTGCATGAGGGTTTCCGACAGCCACTACCACTACAAGATCAACAACAGCTCCTAGGACATGCACCAAAACCTAACCTCTATGCGCCGCAGACATCCTACCAGGACACATCAGCCCTTTACCATGCGGTCCAGTATTCCGATTCTCAGACAGTCCCTCACAATCTACAATATCAACCTGTGCATCACGCCGTCAGTGCTGTCAATGTTGTGGATCACCAGTATGGCGCCCAGGCCGCATTTCCAACACCGCCGATGCAACAGCCATCACATCCAGCATCTCCGGCGGACACCTACCAGTCAGAATATGCACAACAAGACTTGGCCGACCTGTTAGGGTCCTTGAAGGTTAACGAGGCAGGGACAGCGCCCTATCTAAACAGCAAGATGCAATCGATGAGGGAAGAAGATCCCGTCGTGGAGGAGGGCGACGAATACAAGAGTTTGTTGCCACCACTCACAGCTGGTTTGGGAGGATCCAAAATTCGAATTCCGCCAGAGCTTATGCCCGACGACGACACCGTCCTTCAGTACCTGGACCTGTACTTTACGAATGCCCATCCTTATGTGCCCGTTCTGGATAAAGCCCACTTCTATCAACAGTGGCACGACAACAGGGAATCGATATCGCCCCTTCTTTTGGAAGCCATGTTTGCCATCTCGGGCCGGTTAGCAGACGAACCGGCCCAAGGGCAACAGTGGCTCGCGCTCGCCACCCGCCACGCCGACTCTTTCATGGATATCCCTCGCCTCAGCACGCTACAGGCACTCATGATTCTTCTGAAGGCCCGCGAATCGGCACCGAAGCGAGGCTACTATTACCGTTCATGGATGAGCATCGAGCAGTGTGTCCAGTTGGGCAAGGACTTGGGATTAGATGAGCATTACGGAGACCACCGACACGGCAGGTCTTGTGGGTCGAGCCCATCCGAGTGTGCCCTGAAGACGAGAATTTGGCAGACATTATTCATGGTGGAGATGATGATTGGTTCTCCTCAGGGTATGGCAACACGGCAGAGCGATACCTGTGGTTTGTGCTGCGCATAGAAAGCTGACGAGTAGAGTAGGGCGAACCGATTTTCAGGTCGAGGAGGACACGGTGGACTTCAACGTGCCGAGGCTGCTACCCAACCAAGATGAATCCGAGTACCACGTTTCGCGCAACTTCACCTACCTCGCCAGAGTGGTTCGCAACGTCAGCCGCATGGTGGTGGTGTACGGGCGGTTGAAGAAGAGCAAGGAGGTCAAGGAATGGGGCCTCGATCCCGATTTCGTCCAGATCAGCCCGGCTCTCGATGCTTGGTTGGCTGAGATACCGGCAGACATGTCGATAACTTATCCAGCCAACGGCTCACCGCCGTGGCTGCCTTCAGCTTTTGTCGGCAACGTCCATTCGTACTACTACTTGTCGATTATCCTGTTCAACAGGCCTCAGCTCGCCTTCTTGTCCCCTTCCACGCCAGGGGGCCAATGGAAACATCACATGCTGGTGTCGTACAACGCAGCCAAGATGCTGTGCAGACTCCAGGAGGCTGTCATGGGCGCGTACGGACTGAACGGACTGCTGTGCATGCAGCGGGGCATCAACTTTACCATTTACGCGGTGCTCGCATGCATTGTCCTACACCTCGTACGCCGACCCTTTCATATGCCAAATGCTTTGAACTTCTTTTTGCTGACAAGCTTGCTACGTACAGGTTGCCTTGACATCACCAGACCCAGACCTGAACTCGGAAGCCAGGGAGTACTTTACGCGCCACATGAGGATCCTGGAAAAGTGCATGAGCTCGTGGCCCATGCCGGACATGCAGAGGCAGATCGACTCGGTGCGGGAGGCCTTTTCTGCGGACGTCCGGAAGCCGTTCGTGCTGAAGCCCAGCTTCCCGTACGGCAGCCCGCATTCCAACTCGCACCCCAGCCCGCCCGGGCCCAGGCTCTTGGACACGCAGGTGCCACACTCGCAAGTTAGTTACAGCCTCCCCATCACACCCATCTCCACCGTCGGCCCGCTGGACAGCAAGAGTGACTCCTCCCCCGGTGTACAGTCGCTCGGAATGATGCCTTCCGGCCATGGCGCTCAGGCACCGGCCGCCGTGCCGCAGTCGTCGTTGGCTTTGGCAGAGGCGCCGCCTGCGTGGAACCCGTCGCGGATTTTTGAGTAAGTGACACAACTGAGGGAACCACCAGTGGTAGTTGTACTGACTGTTTCATAGCCAATGGAACACCTCTTTCGGCACCCCTCCAGTCCAGTCGTCACCAACAGGGGGACAGGGTGGTGGTGGTGGTGGTGGTGGTGCGATGAGCGCTTCATCCGGCGCCTCGGACACGGCGAGCATACACGACATGCACGCGGTGCAGGCGCAGCTTAGGACAGCTGCACAGCAGCAGCAGCCCATGCCGGCGGCAGCAGCGCAGTATTCGGCCGCCGTGGCCCCGGTGCAGAACTTTGTCACACCGGCCATGTGGCAGGAATCGGTGGCGAGCGTGTACGAGGCTGGGGGTGGGCTGAAGCGAGGGTGGGATTATGATGGGCATATGCCTGTTAGCAAGCGACACCACTGAGAGGTTCACGATGCCTAGTGAAAGTGAACACATTAACCTTTTCATTTGTTTGTTTGGAGAATGCTTTGCGGAGCTTCTGTTTTCGGGTTACAAAAAGCCGGCTTAAAAATCAGCATCTAGGGTTGGTTTGGTTTTGGTTGGGACCTTGGGGTTTAAAGGGTTTGTTTTGGGATAAGGAGCATGTTTTGAGAGAGATGAACAATGGTTGGCGTTTGTTCGATTGGTTTTTTTTTGGTTTTTTTCGTTTTTTTTTTTTGTTTTTTTTTGGAGAGTTGAAAGGGGGGCAGGAACAACACAAACATTCAACATCGGAGGGATGACACAGATCTCGGAGTTGAAGAACAAGCAAAACTATCGGATGTATGATGCGAGGGAAGAAGCGAAGCAATGTTGTATATTATGAGGGTTGGTTGGATTGGATCAGGGGGTTGGTTGGGGGGTTTGATGGGAAGCGTCTGTGTTGCGAATTATTCAACTGGGAGGAAATCAGCGTGTCTTTTTTTGGATGGATGGATGGAAAACAGTGCTAGCTGGTATGGCACGTTGGTTTGGGGAGATGGACGGAAGGAAATGTGTGTACGTTATGGGTTGTTGTCGTTGTGGTTGTGTGTGTGTGTGTGTGTGTCGTTCGCTTCTACTGGTACATATTCCTTTGGGGTTTTTTGGGTGTTTTTGGGGACTTTTGTGGTTCACAGCAGAGAGACACATCCACACAGAGAGAGACAGAAAGATATCATCATCAGCCTTGTATCAATACCGACGTTTTGATTTGATTTTGAGCCTTTCCTAAACCATCTCGCCGAAAGTGTATGACAAGTTGTGGTGTTGAGAATTGGCCAATGGGATTGGGGAAGTGTACACGTGCTCTGGCGTCAAGGGTGTCGCGCCAATGGGATGGGGAGTTTGATGCCGATGCTTGGCGCACGGGAAGGGGAATCTGGGACATAGGGATGGGGGGGTGGGGGGGTAGCTTGCTGTGTTTGTTCGCTTTGATGGTCGGCGATCAACAAGGGAGTTGAAGACGGGGGGGTATATATTTGAGTGAGCAGCTCGGGTATCAACATTGATTTTCACCAGACCTTCTCACACTCTTTGACAGGGAAAGTGTTGGTGCTTTGGAGGGGTTGATCATTCGGGAAGGCACTTACACGCGCTGACTTACACGCATTCACCACCATCACCACCACCGACACAGCAACCACCACCCAAAATGGGCCTCAAATCCCACCGCTGGGACCCAACAACATGGCGTCTCAAAGACTTTGTCAACCTCGACGAGATCGGCCCTCGGATGTGGACTTCTTTCAAGGAGAACTGGTACATGGGGTTCACCTCTTTTGGTGGCCCGCCGGTGCATTTCAAGATTGTATGTTTCCCTCTTTTCACCCCTTACAAGCCTCCCCTCATTTCCATATCATAGATATAAACTAACAACGACAATAGTTCCATGATAAATACGTCTCCAAACTCTCCTGGATCGACGAGACAGTCGTACGTCCCATTCCGCCCCCTTTTCCCTTAAGATAGTCATTGTTAATGTTTTGGTTTGTGAATAGTACCAAGAACTCTTCTCCATCTGCCAAGCCTTCTCCGGCCCCGGCTCGACAAAAATGCACTACTGCATCAACCTCCTCCGCCTCGGCTTCCCCCCCGCCGTCCTCTCCTTCTTCCTCTGGTCGCTCCCCGGTGCGTTGGGGATGTTTGGTCTCGCGATTGGTATCTCCAACGTTGGAGAAACACTTCCCCGTGCGGTTTATGCGTTGCTTTCTGGCCTCAACGCGGCTACTGTTGGGATTATTGCTCTGGCAGCTGTGCAATTGGCGCAAAAGGCTATTACGGACAAGCTGACGAGGTTGTTGGTTTATTTGGGCGCGGCGGCCGGGTTGTTGTACAATGCGCTATGGTACTTTCCCGTTTTGATGCTGGCGGCGGGGGTGGTGGCTGTGGTGTGGGATTTTAGGTGGTTGCATGGGCCGGTTTTGTGGGTTGTGAGCAAGGTGAAGAAGGGGAAGGTCAGGGATGAGGAGAGGGAGGTGGAATTGAGGGAGCAACGAGTGCCGGGGGGTTCGGGGGCGGAGAGGGAGGTTGTGAGGGAGGAGGATGGGAAGGGGACCAGGGAGAGGGTTTCAACTGGGGGTGATAATGCGGACGGGCAGTCGCAACAGCAGCTCAGACGGGAGGAGGAAGAGGCAGAGGAGAGGGTTGTGCCGAGGAGCCACCAGATCAGCGTCATGTCCTGGAAGTCAGGGCTGGCGCTGATTGTGGCTTTTCTGGCGTCGTTTATCGCGGTTATGCTCACTCGTGGCCTCATCCCGGCGAACCCGTTGCTGTATAGGCTGTTTAGCAACCTCTACCTGGCGGGTACGATTATTTTTGGGGGCGGGCCGGTGGTTATCCCGCTGTTGAGGGAGTATATCGTTGCGGAGAATTGGGTTTCCCCTAGAGACTTCTTGATTGGGCTGGCGCTTATCCAGGGGTTTCCGGGGCCGAATTTCAACTTTGCTGTTTACTTGGGTACCCTCACGGCGATTAATGGGGGGTATTCTGGGGTGCTGGGAGGGTTTTTGGGTTTCTTGGCGATCTTCTTGCCTGGGTTGTGGACTGTTCATGGGACCATGGGTCTTTGGAGTGCGATTAGGGGGTGGAGGTGGGTGAAGAGCTCGTTGAGGGGTGTGAATGCTGCTGCTGTTGGGCTGATTTACACGGCCGTGTATAGACTGTGGCAGATTGGGTGGATTGATCAGGGGTTCAGTCAGGGGAAGAGTTTGGCGGATGATCCTTGGTGGGTGGTTGTTACGGCGGGAAGCTACGTGGGTGGTGCTTGGTTTGGGGTTGAGCCGCCGGTAGCGTGTATCTTTGGGGCTGTGTTGGGGTTGGTGAGGTATGGGGTTGTTGAGGCTCAGGGGTATTGAGTGGTGACCACTTTGGAGAGGTAATGTAATTGGCACACTCGGGAAATGGTCACAGTAATGAGGTTTGTCAGGATAGTTAGCTTCTAGAATATATGCAATGAGGCTACATGTGGGTGTTTCGTCACGATAACCGAAACACTCTCACCCTGTGTTTGGCTATTCTCAATCCCACTGAAGTTGCTCTTCCTCAGTCACACATGTCACTTGGAGTTCCTACTCATGTTACTTCTTTAAATTGCCCATGACTCAATCGCTCTTTCCTTGTACACTAACCAGCCGCTCCTTCCTTACACACATCCGGCCACACCTTCCTTCCACCACGGTATTTATACAAAGGCTTCGGCCGCACCTTCCGTCACCAAGTGACCGAATGAGACCTTAAAAATCTACCCGTTGACCAGATGGATCAGCGGTAAGCGGGTCGCGCCCAAAACCATCTGGGCATTCAAGTATCTACCTGGAGGGCGCACGTTCGAGCTCACTTTTTGTCTTTTCTCTTACCTTATTCACCCCTCCAAGTTTGGTTTTCTTTTTCAAAGTCATTTTGTTATTCTGGGAATGTGTGCCTCTTGATGGATGTAAATATCAAGAGAGCCTGCAATAATTATTGGGGGGGATCTTGGTCGAGATGAGTTGTTGTCGTCGTCGATGGGTGGTGAATGGGGGGCAGATATAATAATCTCAGGTACTTGTGCTGACAGCATTGAATTTTAACTATGATCACGCTTCTTGGAATCTTAACATGACAAAGAAGTATGAGATATTGCTGCTTGTCCCTGGGAGCTTGAAGATCAGACGAAGAGAGCAAGTCGTCGAGGGGTGATGGTGAGGGTTGGAGAGGGTTAGGGTTACTTGTGGTCTTGATATTGTGTGCTTCAAAGTCCCAGCCATTCCATCATCACTTCTTGGGTTGACATTTCTCAATCTCAGCTCGATGCTGACCATTTCATTTAGCTTTCCTACAACTGGCAATTTTCGTGGCTGAGAGGCAGTCATCAAGCCTCCTTCCCGGTGCCTGAGCACCTTCCAAGTTCAAACTCTCCAATAGTTTTACACCTTCTGCTTACATCACACAACTCAACACTTAGAATAACCCGTCAACATCGGCCTCATCTCAACAGTGAACAACGCATCACGACCAATAACGACTCTTTTATCAACTTACAATGGCCTCATCACAAAACACCCCCAACATCCCCTCGGCCAAACGCCGGCGCGTGGACGCCGCGAATGCGACTCTTAAGAAGCCGTTCAGATCACCAATGATCAACCGGCAGAGTCCATCCACAACCACCAGCAATGCGACCCCGACACAAGCATCACAAAGTCTGTCTCGCCGCTCTATCGACAGCTTTTCTCGCCCACCAACATCATCATCAATCCCAGCAACCCCCTCGCGACCAGGCAATCCGTCACCCCTTAGGCTGGGGACGAACAGCGCTGCCGCCCGGAGACCGTTGCTTCTCCAGAAAAGCTTCAAGTCCGTGTCGACGCCTTTTCCGTTTAAGCAGCGGCAGCAGGACACTGCTAGGTCTACTAATGAGGGAGATGAATTATTGCAACGAATCCAGCGCTCTCATAGGGAGTTGGATGCACAGATGAAGAAGGTGGAGAAGGAGCTTGAGCGGGTGAGGCAGGCTAAGAGGATTGAGGAGGCCTCGCGGAGGAAGAGGCCTGGGGAGGAGGTTGATGCTGAGCTGAGCGAGTTGGTTGGGAAGTGGAAGGGGGCGAGTAGGTTGGCGGCGGAGGAGTTGTTTGAGGTTGTCAAGGGGAGGGTGGATGGGATGGGGGGGCGGGGGGGCTTGGAGGGAGAGTAGGAAGAGGAGGTATGGGGAGAGGGATGGGGAGGATAAAAAGGGGGTGGGAGGGGAGGAGGAGGAGGAGAGGGAGGGTTACAGGGGTGAGCTTGAGGGGGAGGATTGTGAAGAGGATGAACAAAAAGGGGAGGAGGGGGATGATACGGAGGGCTTTACGATGCTCATGATGTTGAAAAGTTTGAATATTGAGCCGGAAGTTTTGGGGTGGGATCCTGGAGAGGAGAAGTGGAAGGACTGATGCAGGGTATGTTTTTGTCTTTTTTTCTTTGTTGGGTTTATATCATCTCATTGCATATGAGTTTAGGTATGTGGTCCTAATGGGTGGGACTATCTCACGATATCTTCATGACTTCTCATACAACTGCTATATGGACTCACGCAGGGGCCATACAGCTCTTATGCAAGTGGCGCAACTCAACAGTCGGAAAATTTGATCTGAATGTGCTGTTCGAGCCGTCATTGTCCAGTCATCCAGATCGGGACGTGGGCTGGACAGATCGCGGAAAGCAGTGACGTTTTCGGCCGTGGCAATTGGAGCCGCCCAAAAGTTTAAAGAGTTCAAACAGTTGCAAAACGGGCGTTACATAAGCAGCTATGCTCCTTTAGGCGAGTCCTCGGGCGTGGACGGCAGTGGACGCGGTTGCTTCAATTGAAATTCGGTGGCAACGATTGGTCAGAATTTGCCGAGGTGTTCCGGGAAACCGAATGTGAAGATTGATGACCCTCTACTACCAATTCAGTGCCACCACCAACTTCAACCACAGCCCGTTGCTGTTGCCTTTTCCGAGGCCTTTTTTCCTTATTTCTATCCCCTTGATACTTGATACCCGGTCCTAGCACCACCACCACAGCCACCCCGAAGCCGACGTCGACGACAATGGCCGCTCTCCGCTCTACCGCTTCTGCTCTCTTGGGCGCCGCCGCCGCGAGGCCTTCGCTTCGCATGGCCGCCGCCGCCCCGTCTGCCTTCCGCGGCATGGCCCAGCTCGCCGACGCCGCCCAGCAGAACAACACGGCTTCCGAGCAGGCCAACCTCAAGACCTTCCAGATCTACCGCTGGAACCCCGACCAGCCCTCCGAGAAGCCCAAGATGCAGTCCTACACCCTCGATCTTAACAAGACCGGCCCCATGGTTCTCGACGCCCTCATCCGCATCAAGAACGAGATCGACCCTACCCTCACCTTCCGCCGCAGCTGCAGAGAGGGTATCTGCGGCTCTTGCGCCATGAACATCAACGGCACCAACACCCTGGCTTGCTTGTGTATGTCCAAGTCCTTGAAGTTGAGATATGGTGGGGGTGGGAGGAGGAGGAGGAGGGGCTGAGGAGCAAGCAAGGATTTTGAGAAAGCGCATGTGGATGCTGATATATACGCGACAGGCCGCATCCCCAACGAGGACAAGGCCGACATGAAGATCTACCCTCTGCCGCACACCTACGTCGTCAAGGATCTCGTTCCCGATCTCACCCAGTTCTACAAGCAGTACAAGTCCATTAAGCCCTACCTGCAAAGAGATACCCCTGCCCCAGATGTAAGGCTGCCCGCGATTTTTGAGATGTCCCCGAGTGTTCCGGCAGACGACGACTGACACGATAAACAGGGAAGGGAGTACAGACAGACCAAGGCGGACCGCAAGAAGCTCGACGGTCTTTACGAGTGCATTCTCTGCGCGTGCTGCTCGACCTCGTGCCCTTCATACTGGTGGAATTCGGAGGAGTACCTCGGCCCCGCCATCCTTCTCCAGTCCTACAGATGGCTTGTCGATTCCCGTGACGAGAAGACGCTCCAGCGCCAGGATGCCCTTAACAACTCGATGAGCTTGTACCGCTGCCACACCATTCTCAACTGCACAAGGACATGCCCTAAGGGTCTCAACCCCGGCCAGGCCATCCAGTCCATCAAGAAGCAGATGGCTTTTTAAATTTAATGTGGTTTGGGGTAACGGGAGAGGGGAAAGAGGTGGTGATGTAGAAACGGGAGTTTGGGATATGAAAAATAAAAGAACGACCTGGGTGGGTGGTGCGTGGTTCTTTTTTGTCTAGTCCGCAGAAAGGGTTTACTCGGGGACATGCTTTTTTCTAACTAGACATGTGTAAACTTGTACCTTTGTCTCCTGCATGGTTGGAGTTTCACTTTGTCAGAGTAACAGCAATGGAAATGCTTTCTTGTTCAACTCTTTGATAGGTTTTTGTTTTGTTTTAGTTTTTGTTTCAGGGGTAATGCAGTCATGAAATACGGAAACGATGGGTTTTTTCCTCCAAGATGATCAATCTTTTGATTCAAGTTATGGAAAGGAAAGAAGTAGTAAGAAAACATCAATATCAAAACAGCTTTTTCCCCCTTCCTTTTTTTCCCCCTTCCCAGCTGGGTCCCTAAATAAACAAAACAACACCAACTTTCATTCATCATCCTCTTGGCAAGCTAACCGGCCCCCCCCCCCCTTTTTTTTTCTTTTTTTCTTTTTTCACTCTGATATATACATCTAAGCAGTAATGTGGAACCCCTCGACAACCTCGTAGACAACCTTAACGGGGATGTAGTTCTGGGTCGTGGTGGCGGTGACGTCCTTCCACTTGACGGCCCACTCGCCCGCCTGACCCTTTCCGACGGGGAAGGCGACCCAGGAGCCGTCCTTGGTGCTGCCTGCGTAGGTGAGGGAGCCGGCGGAGGCGTCGTCGGAGAGGTCAAAGTTTTGCCAGTCGAGGGTCGTGCCGGTGGGGACGGTGACGGAGGCCGGGTTCGGGAGGGCGGAGAGGGAGAGGAGGCCGTGGGTGCCTACTAGGGCGAGGGCGGAGGAGGTTTGGGGGGAGTGCAGCTCGAGGAGGTTGGTTTGGGGGTTGCGGATGGGGTAGAAGAGGGGGGTGGAGGGGGAGGAGGGGAAGATGCCGAGGGTTGTGTTGGAAAGGGTTAGGGGTTTTCCGTCTAGGGAGGGGGTGCGCCTGGGGGGGTTAGCTAAGGGGGTGGCATGCTGGGGGTGATGGGGGAGCGTGAAAGAGAGGGATAGGGGTCGTTTTCGGAAGTTAATTGTGTTAAGGGGTGGGTAGGAGGCTCATCAAGTGAAGAAACTTACGAGGAGAGACGGAGGGTGTAAGCCTGGACGAACTTGGGCTTGGCTTGAGGCTCGGGGACGGGGGAGGCGAGGCCGGTGGCCGAGAGGGTAGCGATGAGGATGGCCTGGAACTTCATTTTTGGTGATGTTTAGGTGAGGCTCTGGTGGTGAGGCCCTGTACTGAGAAAGATGTGGCTTGAAGAACTGAGGAGGGAGCTAATACTCGAGTCTGATGAAGCTATTGGAGCTGGTGATGGTGATGGTGATAATATCGGCTCAATGCCGGCGGTGGCGTCGTCTTATATACTTGTCTGTGTATCGCTGTCGTCTTCACTTCACTGATCACATCATCACCAGAAATTTCGTCTCTTCCACCACCACACTCAACACCCCTCATCCTTGCCATTATCTCATGTCCTGCTGCCCTCTCGTGATGATCTTGCCTCCTACTACCCACACACACACACATACACACACACACGCACCCTCGCACACATAAAATGGCAAGCACAACCCCACACTTCACCGTCACGCGTTTTGTTTGCTTGTTGTACCGACTTAGATATTGCCAATGCGTCCTTGGCATACTGCCGGAGTCAATTAAGCCAAATTGAGCGACGACGTTGACCAATTCAACCGCTATCTCTGGGCGATCTTGTTTCTTCCAGAGCCTTTCTTTCCCTTGCCCCTTCCGCTTCCCCCCCCGCAAGAAATCGGAATTGATTAAATTGTTTTCTGCTTTTTTTTCTTTTTCCTTTGGGGATTATTTTTAGAAGCTCCAAACACCTGGTTGAAGGCTTCATCGGCTCATCTATCCGCGCAGAAAGCAATTAGGAGGAAAATGTGAGGATGCTGAAGCGAAATGCTTGGACGAGAACCCTAACGGCAGGTCGGCAGATGACTGTACATTGCGGCTTGTGTTGCCTCTCTGCTGCGAACGCTGACCGAACCCTTTCTTCCTGTCGCCTTCCTTTTTGTACCGCGGCAGGAGATGAAGACGAGATTGCCCCCAAGGCGAGGCAGGTACACTTGGCTTCTTCAAGTGGCTTCCATCGGTTCTAGAAAGATTGTTTTCAATTTCTGACCTCATGTCCGTTAGACACACTTACAGCCCACCAGTGTGGGCCAGTGGCTTAGAAATTCCCCGGTTGTTTTTCCCCAGACTATGGATGTCAAACCACATGGCAGACAAGCAAGACAGCATCACCCCACGCTGAGTTTGACAATGCCTCCTTCCTCTTCGACTCACGGACCCGACAGCCGCGCGGATGCACAAACAATTAACGAGAACCGCCCATGGACTAATTTTTGAGATAGGATATACGCCCTCCGTCCGTACGAAGCCGTCGACAACCGCAGCCGCAACGTTTCTCCTGACCTTTTGCTTCTCTTCCTTCTTCTCGTTGAAGGACTCAGTGGGACCACAGACGGCCAGTCGATATTAAGTTTGTGTTGCAGCAGGAGTTCGTGCCGGACGGAGCCGTCGAGCGGGCGACGTACAGCTATTTCAGGAACAAGGACACTCGCCATGTTCTCCTTGGTTGCTCCAACCACGGGAACATTCTACACGCGAACCGAAGCCGGTCCGGTATGGACATGTGTAAGTCTACACGCCATCGAGGTTCAATGCCAAGAGCTACGGTCCAAGTCTCCCCCCCCCCCCCGACGGCTGCAATATGCAGACTGCCGGAACATGGGAGACGGTTGTGAATGGATGTCACCCGCATGGCAGCAGGGCAGAGGAATGGTCGTCTGATGTCCGAGCGAGGACCCTTACACTGGGTTGCAATGGTGCCTGTCTTGGGACGACGGAGAGTTTTCCTTGCTGTCTGCGCTGCTGTTTCCCTTGGAATGTCCATGCGGGCCAATTCCGAAGGGATGCTTCTAGTTCTGAACTTTTTTGCGGGTTGAGCTTTTGGTGTGGGAGAAGAATGGTTCCCCTTTCAACCGCTCCGAAAATCCGGGGGGGATCGGCTTACCTTAGGCTATTACTTACGCAGGCTAAGACATTGTACGCAACCCTACCTTTTCAAAGATTTTAACTCGCTACTCCCTACATTCAAGTTCAAAAGTATGTAAGTCGGAATATCAGTCCTTCAATTACCCTTTTCTGTCTTGGATTCTAAGACCTATCCGGCTTGGCTTCCATTCTGTGGCGTCTCGTTTGACACTGTAGTAGCATGAATCTCTACCAACGATTGATGTCAAGTGGCTGGAAGAATCCCATTGTCAATACCGAGCATGCTACTCTTCTTTATACACCCTTACCTGAGCTAGCGTAGCTAAGGTAGTAGACCCGGCCGTTGCAGGTTTATGGGCTTATGAAAACACGAGAAACAACAGATGGCCCATGGTTACATTCCAGCTGCTTGCTTGGCTTGCTGGCAAGCTGAGGTTTCTATAACCAGATCCTGGCTTGTGGATGGGCGGGTGTGTCTGAGTGCCCTACGTGTGTGTGCAGCATAAGCGTATATGTCTGGTCTTGTCCCTCGTCATCTGTCAACCCAAGCACGTATTCCCTTTTTTAACACCTCTGAGAATGGGTCCC